GGGGCGGCCAGAAAGCCAGAGCCAGCCCTGTGTGAATGTACTCTGCACTAGCCTGCCACAGACCACTGTCCACATGGACACATTAACAAACTGTTAATGCACTTTTAATCTAGTCCCGTTTCAAAAAAGACTAGATCAAAGTCCATTAACAAATGCGTCAGCAGTGTCCACTCAGACAGTTAGTCCATGGCAGGCTAGCGTGGGGTAGATTCACACCTCAGCTTGCCGAGAACTAGATGTTTGTGTCAACAAGCCCAAGTTTCTGCAAGTCAAACTAGGCCTTTAGTGATGCTGTGCAAACGCACTGTCTGTAGGTGCAACTCATAGAATTTAGTGAACAATCCTGAGGCTGCACAAGAAGGAATCTAATCCAGCTCCCTCTGCTAGGTGTGTTTCTGTTGGGTTAAGAGGTAACAATCGAACATTTTCTTGTCACTGAAGTCAGCAGATTTGACTGTACACACCTCCTGGGCCAGACAACCTAATGACAAAGTTGGCATTCATAGACCAAGTTTCTTTGGGGAGAGGAGGAGGCAAATATTAACGTTCAGAACTGAGAACAGTCCTTCTCTTGAACCCCATTGTCTCCAGTGTGGGCAGTTGTAAGTGTTCAAAGATCATGAGACTGAGAGATTTTTCTTTGCTTTCTGCTTTGTAGGCCTTTACTGTACGCTCAGGTCAGGTTTTCACGCTTTTCTCCAGAACTATGAGGGCTATCAGCTGGCTTTTTATTTAAATGAAAGCAGAGGTTCTTGATTGCCCAACACCACATGCTGTGTCACTCATGCTAAAACCATGTTTTGGCAACACTGCTTCTAAAATGGCTTATCCTGCTTGTACCAAATGCTGAACATCCAAGATCTGCCCTTGGGTAAAACATTTCACATAACTTCGGATGGATCGCTTGATGAAGTTAGTAGGGTGTTTGTTCAAATTCTGGCCTGTACAGGGAGGCTATCTTAAACCTTAATTATGGAAAGCTGGGGCATTTCTCCATACCACGGGAAGCTGGGGATGCGTAGGCAAAAAGACCTCTGTGGAAAATAGCGGCCTAGAAAGGAGAAATAAAACTGTGTGAGGTTGGATTCCTCTTACTCTTTGCTTGTGCAGGTCAAATAATTAACAGCCATGCAGCTATGAAGCCCTCTTTGAATTCCAGCCACTAAGTTTCTTAATCACTCTTTGTTGCTAGTCTCCGGTTGATGGCAAGGGATCATTTTCAGGAGGCTGTGCTGCTGATCAGCTAGGAAGTATCGGGGGAGTTGCTTGGGTGAACCGGGTGCTGTTGCTTTCTGGAGAGCAACAGGTGTCTGAGGCCAGGGCTTATACCGGCATTTTTGCTGGTAGAATTTATACTTGTTTGGCAAGCGAAACAAGGTGTGCTAAGCTATACTGGCAAACGCTACTTTTTGCTGGTATAAGCTGGGTCTGCACTAGATGGGTTTTGTCAGGAGAGCTATACCAGAAAACCTTATAAGCATAGACTAGGCCTGAGTGTTGCTTTGGGAAAGCCTGCCGCAGGCTGGTACCTGCCTGTGCTGCTCTGAGCCTTCAGGAGGGCACGTGGGCCTAGCAGAGGAACTGGCCATTAGGTCAAGTCAGGAGGATTAAATGAACGTGGCTTGGCCAGGCCACAGTGGGCCTGTGGATTTCATGCCAGTGTGGAAGTGTGATTCTTACTACATGGCTGGAGGGAAGAAAATCCAACTGGGAAACCTGATTTGCTGCCCTCTTGGATGCCCTGGCTAAATGCAAATGCCCCTCTGCTGCTGCCTGCCTGGCTTCCGGCTCTGATCCCTGCCCCTCTGCATTCTCCGACTCAAGTCAGCCCTCAGCTCTGTGCCGCCACCCTCCCCGACATGCTCTGAGTCCCCAGCCCTTACTGCCTCTCTGACTCTTCAGATTCCTGGTGGCTCCTCTTCTGCTTCCCCACGTCACCAGCTCAGAAGCAGAACAAGACTGAACTGCCCCTGGTAACACTAATCCCCCAGCTGCTCTGCACATACCCCTGCCCTTGCCAGCCATGCAGAGACAGCCCTGGGTCACCTGCCTCACTGAAGGGGGAGGGGTGACCCAGTGACTAGGGCCTGGGCCTGGGCCTCAGGAAACCCAGGTTCAGTTACATGCTGTGACCTTGTGTGAGTCATTTAAACCGCTCTGAGCCTCAGTTCCCACTGGGGACAATGGCACTCCCCTACCTCACTGGGGTGCTGAGGATAAATAGGTTAAAGATAGCGAGGCGCTCAGGGTGGGCCACATGTGAGTACCAGAGTGGGTTTCTTCCACTGAGAGGATCCAAGTGGTTTGGTGCAGCTCCCACGCCAAGACGTCAGCATTCCAGTTAGTGAATACGCAGACAGGAACACAGGAGTTACTTCCTATCAGAAGAGACTCATAGTCCTCTCGGCCAGTATTCTGCCTGGCAGTGGCCAGTGGCTGCAGCAGAGAAAGGAATAATGCTCCTCAGATAACACAACTTTTGGTCAGTTTCAGCAGCTGGTAAATATACTAACCCCGGCTAAGATGCTGGCCTTTGAAACCCAGTGCTGTGATAGTTTCACTAGCAGCTGGGATCCAGTAGATGGCAGATGACTAATGTAAGCAACAAACACTGTTAACATCCCAAATTTATTACAGCCCTACAGCTTTTCACCACAGTCCTTCATGATCCAGGAAGGACAGGCACTGTTGAAAATACCCGCACCAAAGAAGGTGGTACCTACTTCAGGCACTTAACCCACTACCAGACATTGGTGACCAGATAAAGAACAGTTCTAGGCACTTAAAAACCACTGAAAAAATTAGTGTGTCTATTTCCATTCAATTATGGCCAGTGTCATCAGGCACAGTGTGCTGTGTGATTGATGAGAGCTACAGTGCAGATGGCAGCACAGCTTTGGGTGGCTTGGTGTCTCACTGACTTTAGTTGCTTTCTAGGCAGTAGCAAAGATCTGCCAGATTCAGAGGATGATCCCTACCAGCAGTGCGGTGAGGATGAACTTTACTACACTGTGGAGCAGGATGACTTCCCTCAGGAAATGGTCAACAGACCTCCAGTTCCTGTTCCGAGGCCTGACTCCAGCTCCCTTCATCAAGAGAAGGAGCTGTACATTTCCAAAGGTGAGTCCTGTACCAGAACCATCTGTATTTCTGTGCCCAGCAGTACAGAGCAGAGCAGATACTGCATGGAGTACCTGTTGTAGAAGTGGGACAGCGATGGGCCCACCTCCCAGACCTTGATCAGAATCCTCGTCTGGCTTCCAAAATCCCCAGAGTTTAGATTATTCACCTCTAGGTTCTTGGTTCATTCCATAAGAGATGGGCCTCCTATTGGGATCCAGATCTGGATTTCACCCTTCTTCCCTCTCCCAAAACACTGTGGTGTTTGCATCCTGAGGTCTTGGCTTGAGTGTAAGCAGTCGGACTGCAGGCTTCCAAAGCCAGGATCAGCTATGGTCTGCTCTGGACAGACCCAGTTTTGTTGGGAAGTGCCTAAAGTTACAAGGTAGACAATGGCATGGCTGTTGTGCTGATAGGCAAATTCAGGCACAGAGACTATGTAAAGGTGTCACTGAATCCGTAGAGCTGGAAATAGAGCCTGGGAGTCCTGACTCCAGTCCCTTTCTCTAACTACTAGATAACACTCCCTACCATGAAGATAATTTTATTTCAGTTCCTCTGAAAAGGTAAGGCGAAATGTAAATGGCTTTGTCTACATAAGAACCATTGGTCCGACCCAGTACGGCCATTCTTATGTAGACAAAACCATCCATTATGGCTGAAATTTTCAAAGCTACCTAGGGGGCTTAGATGCACAATCTCCATTGAAATTAAAGCGAGTTGTGCAATTATCTTCTAGGCAGCTTTGGAACTCTCCATCATAATGTTTTGTATGAATACACACATTGCAATTCTTTAAAAAAGAAATTATAACCAAATTCTGGAGCATCATCTATAGGGGCATCCAGCAGCAGGCCTGACACTAAAACATCTCTGGAAAAGTGTATTCAGTCCTGTGTTAGGAATGGATTGCATGGTTGAATTCTGTCCACGGGAAGGGTGTTTCTACCATGCTGTCCCTTGTCTTATTTTCTCCCTTGACTTCAGTGGGTTTGCTCAATTTCCTGTGTAACCTTACCATTTCTGTCCTGTCTGTGATGTGGTGAGGTGTCTAAGGAATACCTGTTTTATAGTATTTGCAGGGAAAGCTCACGAAAGACCTGGGAATCTGTATGTCTCTGCAGGGAAGATTAAGAAAGGTAAGTCAGGTGTCTGTTTCAGAGAACTTTCCAATAATGCAAGAGGAAAGCTGGCAAGCTAATTTAATGTGAATGAAGTGTGTGTATGTGCCAATGAGCTGACCAGCTCCACTAGTGCTCGCATGACTCCTCACCCATCGGTCTTTTGGCTCCCTACGACAGAGTGCCAGGGAGGATCCTAGCTTTGTGACTGCAAGGCTAGCTATTTGCTTTGTTTATGGATTGTCACTGGGAGGTGGTTTATTCACCCCTCTATGCTGGTAATAGGAGTGGGGCTGTATTTGTCGCCAATGAGGCATGCCAGTACTGGTATGATTGTTTGTTGGGCCATACATCCTTAGTTCATTTTGTTGCTTTTAGACTAAAGTGCTCTAAGACATTCAGGGGAGTGCCTTAAGACAGGGTGTGGTTTCCCGGTAGTTAACAACCAGCTTTATCCGTTGCCACTCACTAGCTGTCAGGAAGTGTCGGACTCAGGGGTCACTATCGCTGTTATAATCAATGAAAATGAAGAAGTGTAAACAGAAAATAATCCAGCTTTTTCAGTGAAAAGTGAAGTTGGCCTGCCCAAAGTCGGGGAAGGATGCTCCATTTATAGAGCTGGTGTTTTCCTAGCAGCCAAACCCTGTATTCAGGGTTTGTCCCATTAGATTTACAGTGTTCATTACATGATGCTGCTAGTGTTGTACCCAAACCTCAGGGGTCTGACTCTGATAGGTACTGAGCCACCCACAATTTCCTAGATTTCAAAATTGGGGCCTTAATAGTCATACATGGCTCTGTCGTGGTGGCTTTTCATCAAGTGTTCTTAGAATGCTTTACAAAGAAGGTCAGTATACTTATTCCCATTTTATATATGGGGAAACCGAGGCAGAGAGGAAGTATCTTGTCCAGGTCACCTTAGTAGGCCAGTGGCAGAGCTGAGACTAAAACTCAGGCCTGAGTCTCAGTCCAGTGGTGGATCCAGTAAACCACAGTGTTGGAGATCTTCAGGCTGGCAGTGGCAGGTCTTTGCTCTTAGTGGTTGAGAAGCGGCTTATTCTAGTTACCTAGGTCATTGGGCTGGGTGTCAGGAGATCTGACTCTGCCACTGACCTGCTGGGAGACCTTGGGCAAGTCACTGCCCTGCTTTGTGCCTTAGTTTCCCCTCATATCCTGTGTGCCATCTATTTAAACTCCCAGCTGTTAAGGACAAGGACAGTCTCTACTATGTGTTTGCAAACAAGGGCTCTTGATTTTGGCCAGGGCCTCTAGATTTTATGGGAATACCACTAAATAGCTGCATGTCACAGAAAGCACCTGGGACAGGAGACCTAAGTTGTTGGAACCAGACACTGGCATTTCCTGATTTGTCTGTTAAGAATCTCTGCTCTACCCCTGCAGTAACATAATGGTGTGGGGCAGCTAATCTCTGTGTCCCTGAGTATAAAAAACAACCCCAAGCTCAGTACGTGTTTAACTTTCTCTTTTCAGAGCCTGCAGTCAGGCTTGTCAGGGACCAGTCACAATCAAGCATATACGACCCATTCGCTGGGATGAAAACCCCAGGTCAGCGGCAGTTAATTACGCTACAGGAACAAGTCAAGATGGGGATTCTCAATGTTGATGAAGCCGTGCTCCATTTTAAGGAGTGGCAACTGAACCAGAAGAAGAGATCGGAATCATTCCGGTTCCAACAGGTACAGGCGTCTACCACGGTTAAAAACACCTTCTTAGCTAGTTTGGGGCTGGTGAATTCCATTCTCTGCTTACAGAATAGGTACAATGCAGCCAGCATTACTAGTGTCTCTGAAATTGCCCCACCAGCAGGTCTCACCTCTGAGCTGGATTGGCTGTCCCTGCGGGGGTCCCCAGTCCTGCTCAGTCACTGGCCTCCCTTCTGAATTGGCCTAACGAGGGACCAGTGACTGTGGGGGTGACTTTTGTAATGTGGATCCCTGCTTACCAGGAATTGGACTGAGCCCCACCCAACTAAGATCAGACAGGCCACCCCACACCCATCAGAAGGTTATGACTTTGTGCCTAATCCCTGGGGGGAGAGGGGGTAAGGGCTGAACCTCCCCTGGCACTTTGCAAACCAGAATAAGAGAAGGCTTCCCCCACCTACGGCCTCCAGAGACTTCCTACTGATGACTCTCAGGGTGTTCAGGAGAACCTGCTTTTGGAAAAAGCACCTAACTTGTGACTAGTCCATGAGAGATTCATAGGGTTACTGTCACTCAGCAGTTTGTAGTGGGGGTCTGGAAATGAGCATCCAAGTCTTAATTTTTCATATTCCAGCCATAGCGGCATTCCCACCTTAAATGTGATGCCAGCTCCTAGCATAGCCTCTCGTTCGCACTGCAACAGAGCCAGCCCTGGTGTCTGCGAGAGCGCTGTGGGGGGCTGATGGAAATTGAGACTCCTGTAGGTGCTGGCAGGACAAGAGCAAGCCACTTCCTCCACCTCATTCTCGCCCAGGGGTGGTCTTCTTTATCCAGAGGGCCTCATGAGAACCCCTCACTTCTCCCTAGATTAAAGGCCTGCTGGGGGCAGGTTCTGTGCCTGCTGCCATCGTTCCAGCAGATGTTTGCTGGGATGTTCTTTGGAGACAAGAACAGCTCTTAAGAGTCAAGTCTGCCTCCTTCCACCCTGTTATCCTCTCTCCCTGGGGTGGAGCACAGTTGCTGCTCTGGTTTTAAACTCGACTCAGTTGCCTAGCGGGTGCAACTGCTGTGTCTCCACTTGTATAGGGTTGCCTCCTTTTTAAGGCTCTGTCATCTGAGACTGTCCTCTCTCCACACTGCAACACTCGCATCCCCATAAGACAGCATCGTCACCAGGCACTGTCATGCTGTGGGGATGTCTCATCAGCCCCACCTGTGTTTCTGGACTGCAGTTCCCCCCTTGTTTCAGCAGGGAGGTTTTGAATTCCACCAGGACCGAGCCTCAGAAATTGGGATGTATGGCAGCCCGCTCCCCTCCTGCACTCACCGTCTCCTGCTTGCCTCATGGAAATGGCTGGTGGTGACATCAGGTGGGCAGTGAGCAGCAGCACAAATCCTCTTTCTGTGCTAGTGTCCATAATAGGAGGAATAGAAACACAGGAAACCGGGGTATATAAGATCAGCAGAATCCTCTCCAGACAGAATGTTCTCTAGATCTTTTCCACAAGATATTGGTGGGTCTCTGAGCCTGATTCGGAACATATGCCATGAGCATCTTCAAATCGCTTGGTTCCTGAAAAGCCATGCGCACACTATGTGGACTTCTCCCGGGAATAGATTAAAACCCAGTCGCACAGATTGAACTCCAGACAGATTTTGTTGCCGGTGATGCAGCTTGGAGACAGATTTTTAAGTACATTCTTGGTGCCATCATAAAACTGCATGTGTTCATTTATCCCAAGCACTGAAAAGAATGTATTGTGACGTTCTAGGAAAATCTGAAACGGCTACGAGACAGCATCACCCGGAGGCAAATTGAGAAGCAAAAAACGGGAAAACGTTCAGGTAACAAACTTACTCAAACTCTCTCTCCAGTAACGAAGCTACTAATGGGGTCACTTGCAGAGTGTCTGCCAATCCCGCACTCATCTGCATGGGCTTTGTAGGCTGGAACTTGTCTGCATGTATTTTATTAACTCTGTGTAATATATTAATATACTCATCTGTGTGTAATATATACTCATAAAATACACACCTGTATGATATATCAGCAGTTAAAACATGGGCAAGCTACTTAACTGCCTGTGCCTCAGTTTCCCTGTCTGTAAATGAGGATGCTACCCATCTCCAGGGGTGAGTCTTAGGCCATGAATGGAAGCCCCTGGAGATCCAGGAATCAAAGGCTGTACTGAAGGGCCAAGCGCCTGGTCCTGTAACTGTTTCCTGATACAAGAGATCTTGGAGGCAGGAGAGATCATACTATGCACTGGTAGAACCAGCTGCCCTGGAAGCTACAAGCCTTCTAAAGATTGAGCATTCAGAGCCCATTCCTTCCCCTTCATGTAGGCCCCTTACTCCTGTGGATGAGGAGCTCTGTGCTGGTCTGCCCAAGGTTCTGGACAGTCAGGCTGGTGTGGAAGGATCTGCAGGGTCCCTGAAAGAGCTCTGCCTGGCTGCTGACACTGCCTGCCCCCATAGACCTTCTGGAGAAATGCTGCCCCTACAAGAGGCTGCTACAGTCACATGCCTGGAGCTGCCAGGGGAGTGTGGGGAAGAGCAGGGATGGGGCAGCAAAGTGCCCCTGGGCTGAAGACTCTGTTCAAGAGCTGGTAGCCCTCTGTTGCCCCTTCCAAGATGTCTGCAGCTGACTCGGATGGCTGCAGAGACCCGCCCCAGCTCAGTGGGGCTGGGGAAGGCTTTGCGCTCTTGGGGCCTTGTTCATGTCTTACTAAGAAGTGGGACTGCTGCTGGTGAGGTGTAAGAGGGGGATCTCTTCTCCACCGCTTCAGTTAGGTGGTGCCTAAACCCCCTGGCCTTCAGGCTAGTGCAGTACATTGACCACCTCCTCCCTAGACTCAGGCTGTCCTAGTGCTCAGCAACCTCCCACCCTGCCGGCTTCCTCGTTCGGAGGTTGGGCCACACAGCTCCTGGGCAGCATGGTTCCCCCTTGGCTTGAGTGAGGGAAAGGTTTGGGTCAGCGCCTGGGCTGCCCTGTGTGATCTTACTGGATCTGGACTCCTGGATCTTCTGTCTGTTCCATTTTGGAGACCAGGAAGGCCAACTATGGTAAAAAGTTGATTCTGACAGGTTGTCTGACAGGCAGGAGTGGAGCTGAAGTAGTAGATGCATGTACACGGCCCATAGCTTCTAGCCTCCCCACCCCTCACCGTTCCTGTTGTGCTTCTCGCAGGCTAAGAGCTTTACAAGTGCTGACTCCTTCATCTCCTCAGCTCTTCCTGCCTGCAGCAACAACATCACGTCCCTGAGCAGAGCGATTTACTGACTCGCCCAGGGGCACCCAGCAAGTTAGTGGCAGTCGGGAATAGGGCATGAGAACCTTAACATCAACCCTTCGGCTGCTCTACCTACTGCCACAGCTGGGCAAGAGAACTGGAGGAGCCAAGTGTTAACTGAGTCATTCCAATGGGTGCATTTCTTTTGTTCATAGAGAATAGTAACGCTAAATGTTGCTCCAGCCCAGAGGTGGTTGTGTCTGCTAATCATCAATGGGGATGCTCCTGTGGATAAGTGTCCTCTGTTTGCACTAAACCAAATTAATATGACTCAGTCCTGTGACCTTCCCTTTGCAAGCAGTAGCAGTGTGGTCGATCGGCCCAGTCCATCTGAATGTTGATGGAAATTGAGCAATGGAAGCAAAGCCCCTGTGGGAATCAGTGCTTGAGTAATTCATGTTTAATCCTCTGTTTCAAGTATAAGTAGCCTGTAGTACCTGAGATAGGCTGCCACTGACTTGTTCATGGCTATTTTCCCTTCTAGACTTGGAAATCACGGTGCCTATACGACCGTCTCACAATGCTCCCGGGAAACTGGAATGTGGCATTTATGAATTTGGCCCCAGGAAAACTGTTTTCCCACCAAGAAAGGAGATAAAGCGAGGAGAGTGGAAAACAGAAAGCACCTCTAGCACTGCAAGTAAGCAAGCCATGCATCTCAGGCATCCCATACAGGAAAGCTGGCCTGAAATCATCTCCTCTGCCTGCCTTTGGAATCAGCAGGAGCAAAGTTAGCCCTCAGAACTCTCCAAGGCAAACACTACAGCATTAGCCCCAGAATGCATCAGTCTGATCCTACTCCCATTGAAGTCAAAAACACACCTCCCAGTGACTTCAGTAGCAGCTGCTTTAAATAGGAAGGAAATTGGCCCCTGGCTACAATCCCCAATTTCCCAGCATGCAGTGCACCAACTTGATTTGCAGAGCCTAGGAACATTGCATGCAGGGAACTGAACACCCAGTAGTCTCTATGGGCAATTCCCTTTGCTATTATAGATAAGGGCTCACGCTTTCAGAAGTGATAGCCAATGGAACTTGGGCTCCTCAGTGACTCAGACACGCTTGAATATGTTATTGAAGTTTGCTTGTAATCTGCTCCATTTCATGCAAATGATGCATGTAGCTCCTGATTTTCACTGCAGGCTGAGTAACTCTGATAGAAATCAGCAGGGGTTATTCGCTGCCTGTGAAGGCAGAACTGGGCCCCAGCAGGTTGCCACTGTCACCTTGGCTGGGTATGTTTGGCAGATCTCTGGGGTGGAGGCCAACTGTGGTGGGCTGGCCAATGACTCGTGTATAGATCATTATACGAGATGGGAGTTAGGCAGGGTACCAATTTTATAGGGGTTCCTCCAACCTAGCTACCCCCTACCCCAGCACAATCTGGCTGTGGTCCTGGTTCCTCAAAGAGTGGGCTGGCTCTCCCAGAACTGTGTTGGGAGGGAGGGTGGGGATCTCTGAAGGTGCCATCCATTCATACCAGCTGGGCCTGGGCAGCTCTCCAAAAGCTGGGAGTTCCTCCTGTGGCAAACGGACTAGCCCTGGCTCCAGTGCCACTATGTTTAAATGTGGGGGCTCTGGGGACCTCTAAACACCCCATTTGGTTTAAAAAAGATTCTTGAGCTTTCTAATCTTGTAGCGTATTATGCCAATACTGCATAGACATCTAGATACTGCTATGTCAGTGTAACTAATGGAACTGCCATGGGAGTGTCAATTTAAATACGCATGAAAATAAGGTGTGTATCCAATGTGAAAATAAGCCAGTGTCAGAGTCACAAACTTTCAATGAAATAGGGTGTTGGAAACCCCAGTGCAAGTGCAGGGCTTTGCGTGAGAAACTTGCTAAGAACAAAGTGAGGTAAATGAGCCCGGTTTTGCTGCCCAAGCTGAGTGAAATGCAAATGATTGCGAGTGGAGGGCTGAAGGAAGCATTAAAATGTAAGTGAGTTTATTAAAATGAGTGTTAAGTAATAGGCATTAAGAGGTAAATAGGAGCTCAGAATGACTTCTGTGTTGCTAATATCTCTAGAAATTGACAAGATTTAGTGACGCGCTCGTCTCTTGTCTTCTAACTAGGTAGTGCCAGTAACCGATCGAGTACTCGAAGTACATTGAGTGTCAGTAGTGGGATGGAAGGTGACAACGAGGTAAGCCTTCATCTTTATCCTATGCTGGCTGTTTGCCTTCATGACAAACCTGGGCCTGGTTTTTGCATTAGTTTTTAAATGGCTTCTTAAATATTTCCCTTGAAAATGCATAAATGGCAAAAAAGCCAAATGCTTTAAATCAAACAAAACCCACTTCTGCTGTGAAACATACGAGAAACAAATGACTTTAAAATGTGGTTGCTAAAGATCCTCCTCACAGCTTTATGTATGTAACCCTGTAGCCCAATTCCTCCCCTTCTGTCTTGCCCTCATGTCTATAGTCTATTTGCAATCTCTCTGAGGCAGGAGCCTTTCCTAATGATCTGTTCCACAAGGCCCCTAGCACACCTCCTGGGCAGGATATTATTCATAGTTCATCTAACCGTATTCTTGGTCATATTGTAAGTGGATCTTCATACACTGACTTGTCCAGCCAAGAGGTTATGCTCCCATAATCAGGGGCGGCTCTAGGCACCAGCAAAGCAAGCAGGTGCTTGGGGCAGCCCATTTGCAGGGGCGGCAGGGATCCAGCATGGGAGCTGAGAACCAACAGGGGGCCCTGGGAGCTGTAGTTCCTTGGTTAGCTCCCTGCCTATACAGCCAGCCCTGGAGCAGGGAAAGAACTACATTTCCCAGCATTCCCTTGGCTGCTACCAACAGGAAAGGGAGGTGGATGGAGTGAGGTAGCTGAAACCTCATGCTGCAGCTTGCTGTGAATGGAGAGCTCGCTGCTAGAGCGGGGTGGCCCTGGGGATGGGGAACAAGTGTGCCCAAGGAGTAGAAGGCTTTGGCCCAGCTATCCCCTTCTGAAGACATCCCCAGACTGGATTAGGGATACTGCTGTGACCTCACCTTGCAGCCCCCAAAGAAAGAATTGGGTGGACTAAATGGACAGTGCCCCTCTCTATCTGAAGCCTAGCAAGGGAGGTACGTGGATCCCACTAGAATTTAAAATGAAAAGTAAGGGAGGGGAGGCTCTGGACCTGGGCAGCTTTAGATACAGAACCAGGCACGTAGAAGGATTTCCACGTCTGAGCCATGGAAGCAGAAAATGATTTTTCCTTTCCAGATTTAGCTAATATTCAGAAAGGGAATCTAGCACCTGCCCTCCAAATTTGAACACCTCAACATTCAGGAGTGCTCAAGCTCAATTCAGGCAGCTGTTACTTCATTTCTCCCAAATCAAATATACTGATCCACTGTAACTTGCTGTAGAAAAAGTTGGATAAAATTGAGCAAGAAATGCTCCCCAGTGGTTATTAGGACTGGAATTGCTATTTTCAACAGCCATTGCCTTTTCTTTTTTTTTTAGTTTTAGTTTTAGTTTTATTTGTTTAAAAGGAAGACAGTGATATTGCATTGGCAAATTCCCCATAGAAACAAAGAGTGGAACAAAAGAATAATAAAGGCACCTTAACTTTTCCTCATTTATGGAGGACAGTCTTATAATATGCTTCCAGATATCCTCCATCACACAAGCTGAAAATTGTTCCACTTTACTAGAGTTCTGTAACCATATGGGAACCAATCCTGTCTGTGTTCTGTGCACATCTAAAATTCCTGCTCAATGACCCGCCCTGGGAGCGAGTTACTAGTGACCCAGGGCTGGGGCGGCAGGAGGTGTGTGGGTGGGTAGGGGGGCACTGGTGGGGGGGAAAGGGGGAGCCCAGAGCTGGGGCAGCAGTGGGTGCAGGTGGGGGGAGAGCCCAGGGCTGGGGCGGCAGGGGGTTTGTGGGTGCGGGGGCACTGGTGGGGGGGGAAGGGGGGACCCCAGAGCTGGGGCAGCAGGGCGTGTGGGTGGGGGGAGGCCCAGAGCTGGGGCGGCAGGGGGATGCGGGGGGTAGCCCAGGGCTGGGATAGGGGGCAGCCAAACATTTTTTTGCTTGTGGCGGCAAAAAACCTAGTGCCGGCCCTGCCCGTAATGACACTGAAGGAAATATGCTTATTTGAGGGAGAGCCTTACGAGGATCTGAGATACTAGTGTATTATGGATGTTTTGGCAAAACTTCACTCCCCCTTCTGTCTTTCCTTTTTGTAGGATAATGAAATCCTGGAAGCTACCAGAAGCCGCAGCCCAATACCCCAGCAAGTGGAGAGGTTTCCCCTCACGCTACCTGAAAGGCCTCCGAGAATACCTCCCCGAGGTGCAAGCAGGTAAAGCATGTAACTTGAGCTTGAACACAAGTGTCTGAGGGGTTGGTGTTTGTAGCACAATGCAAACAGCTAGAAGGCTGCAGATGTAATACATCCCTTTCACCAGAATGACAAGGCTTTTAACAAAATAAACAAATCTTGTGTAAATTCTGGAATCCATTTTACACTCACATAGTACTTAGTGGAATTAATTTTCCTGGTTAGTAACCTGACTGGCAATCCTATTAGTACAGCTTACACGCTAAAAGGTACTGTGTTATTGGAACATGGTGTTTGCCATGCTGAATTAGATTGATCCATCTAATCCAGTATCATGCCTTTGGCAGAGGTTCAATACATGATCCTTTGGAGAAGAACCCCTCACAATACACCCACAGGCAATGCTGTATATGGGGGGAACTCCCTCCCACTGGGCAATCTGTTTTTACACTCGGAAGTAGATTTGTTTACCTTTAGGACTTTTTTCAGCCCTAAAGCTGCACTAGCTTAACTAAAGGTGTGTTTTAACATTTCTGCAAACTCAGTTAAAACAAAATCCCTTTAATTAAACCAGTGCCACTCTGTGTAATCCAGGCTTTAGAATCCTAGCTTGTATAACTACAGAGGTTAATAAACTTCTCCAGCTGTTACAATAAGTCCAGATACAGTTGTCAGCCATGTCCAGAAGTAGTGAATTCCATGTTTCCTTGGCTCTTGCAACTGTATAACTAAACCCCCTAAAGCAGGTGTGAATCAGCTTTTGAAGCTTGCAGCTACCGGCCATATCCCTCCCCTTTCTCTCATTCTGAGAGCCTCAGAAGAAAGATTCTGCAAGTTCAGAGTGTTAGTATAACACAGAATTCTACAAACATTCAATCTTCCAACAGCCCTGTGAGGCAGGCAGCTACTATACTGTTGTAGCCATTTATAGATGAAAGAACCAAGACAGAGAGGTTAAAGTGATTTGTCCAGCATTACACAGGACTCTTGGGTTCTATTCCCATCTCCGTTGATGAATTACTGATTGCCAGTTCCTGCTCACCTTCTTATGTAAACGTAAATGCATAAGACTCTGCCCTTCTTATGCAAACTTAAATATCAAGTACATTTCATTCTTACACTAAATAGAATGTTGTTACAAACCCGTTCTCTGTTTCTAATATGCTTCTGTGTCTTGTTGCAGGCCTGTAAGCAGCGAAAACTTTTTTCCTCCACCTGTGCCCCCACGAGGTCGCTGAATCCTGAGATCATTGAAATATGGGATATTCTAGTGTGTATGTGTACAGATATATATATATATATACAGACATTTTAAAGGATCTTTTTTTACTATTTATAGATGGAAGCCAGATGATTTCCCCCTCCCTGCCCCCCAGCTCTGGTGCATTTTGTAGTAACATTTCACTGAGAAATCTCCCAGCCTTTTGTGACTTTTTTTTTTTCTTGGAGTGCCTTGGGACTTCTAGATTTTAAGGAAAAACTATCCAAGGTGGCAAAGAGAATTTGGATGAGTCTTCTGACTGTCTTACACCTCATATGGGGTTACGCCTCCCACCAAGAACATGCTGTCCTCACTGGAACCCTACACTCCGAGAGTTGTAAAAACAACTAAAGAGAGTCACTGGAAAATGTAAAAAAAATATATATATATATTTTTTAAAAGCTCCTTTCAGAGTCTGTCCTCAAAGAATGCTCATCATGAGCTGCATCGGAAGAGTGGATCTCAGTAGTTTGGTGGTGTAACATTTGGACACTGGCTCGTTCCCACCAAATCTCCTGTAACGGATCTTCCTTTAATAGTTATTGGACATGATGGTTTGGAAAAAGGGCTTTGTGAAGACTTCCATATTCAAGCAAAAGTCATTTTTATACAGCCCTTTTCTCTGCCCACTCCATTGTCTTTGGATGGGGAAAGACACTAGCGAGGTGCTATATACACTGCATTGGATGCAAGACTCCCTAACAGCTGGTGAGGGAATTGCTCTGTCACATGAAACAGCTCTATATAGATGCTTTCTAGGGGCCTTGTTACTTTAAATCCAAATAGCTGACCTCTTGCATTAGGGGAAGAAATTTTTAGCAGTCCTTTGACCTTCCCCCTTCCCTGTACACATTTGAGTATCATATCTGTGTTAAGGCTGTTTATGCTTTGTAATAGCGTGTGTTGATAAGGTGTATGTATTTTGTGGCTCAAATATGGATTTAATTGTTGCTTACTTCACTGGGCACAGACAGCCCGTTCAGTGGTTGGGTTTTGTTTGCCCTAAGCATCCTGTTTAGCAAAACTGCACCTACAGCAGCCGTGTCCAACCAAATCCACCCGAGGGCTGCGTGTTTTCAAAAAGGTCAAAGGGCTTCTTAGTTCTGCTCCCCCTTGTGCCACTCAGATGGCACAAGGAGCAAAACCCATTGCTAAGTCCTCATCACAGAGAGTTGGGGTAGCTGGCTTTCAGGCCTGGGGTGAGGAGAACACGGAGCTCCAGCAATCCCTGGCTGACATGGCTCACAGGGGACCTTTGATGGCTGGCACAAGTTAGAGGCTACTCTGCCCCTGCCCAGGGTAGAGAATTGGGTAACAATAACTTGTTGGTTCTCAGCTTCTCTTTTCCCTTCCCTCCCTGTGGTAGCTGTGTGGGGGAGAGGAGCCATCCCTTTCTAGCTGAACCCAGCCCTCTAGGCTCAGAGAGAGCTCAGGTAAGCAGGCGACAGAGCAACCAGAGTTGCAGCTCCCCATCCCCTGCAATACAGCAAGTGGCCAGTGGAGGGAGTTGCTGAAGAAGTAATCCACGGGGTGTCCCCTACTGTTGCTTGTAGAGATGTGGGTCATTCAAACAGTTCAGGGTGGCACTTGTGAAACGCATCTTCAGTTCACAATCAAGTGCAAACTCTCTTTTCAGTGCAGCTCTACGTGGCTCAGAAGCTCGTCCCTTCCACCAACAGAAGCTGCTCCAATAAACAATATTACCTCACCCTCCTCATCTCTCTCATATCCTGCGACCCACAAGGCTACAATGACACTGCAAGCAAGCACCATGGGTGCTCCTTTAAAAGTACATGAGTGTTCTCCTCCACTAACCAGGTGTTACTCGGAACACTACAGGCTCTGAATGCTGGCTTGCCGTAGCTTGCTGGTGACTCGCTTTAGTCGGGGGGGAAGGGTTGAGATCCAGAGAGCAGGAGTTGGGTTTGTGTCCCTTTCCCTAGTGGGCGCAGTCCCCAGCACTTTTCCATTGAACTGAAAAAAGTTTCTTCACCGAATCGAGGAGAAAATGAAACTGCAAATGGAAGGAATGAGTTAAAGGAAATAAAACTGAAGAGGAGAGTTAATTCAGGGGCCAAATCCTGTTCAGTGCTCACTTCTGTTTTACTTTGCACACATCTTGGTGGGTTCTGCCCTTCGGTTTAGCCCTGTGCAACCAGCAGCTCATGGGCTCCTTTGCCTCTGTAGCTCTCTCGTGCTCTGCCCCTAAGGTCAGTTCTGTGCTGCAGCATTGCAGGAATTAACTGCTTTCCTATCTCCCAGGGTATAAGAACTGAGGAATGTGGGGCAGAAGGAAAAGAGCAAAGCATGAAGATGCCCCTCTCCCAATTTCAGAACATTTCCTTTCCAGATAAACCTGTAGCCAGTGTATGTTAAACTTGCAGTGGTTCTCAAAATGTGGGTCGGAACCCCAAAATGGGTTGCAACCCCGTTTTAATGGAGTTGCCGGAGTTGGCTTAGACTTGCTGGGGTCTGGGGCTGAAGCCCTAAACCCACCACCTGAGCCCGAAGCCCGAGGGCTTCAGCCCTGGGTGGTGGGGCTCAGGTTACAGGCCCCCTGCCTGCTCCTGAAGCCCTTGGGTGGCTTGGGTAGGGTCAGGCTTCGGTCCCCCTGTTCCCCGGGGTCATGTAGTAATCTTTGTTGTCAGAAGGGGTCGGGGTGCAATGAAGTTTGAGAACCCCTGTGTTAAAGCAGGCATGCAGGCGGGGGACAAGGGGGAGTGACTGCCTACACTCTGTCCATTCAACCCTGGGAAACTCTGACTCTGCACCACTAGAGGAGACTGTCACAGGTTTCCTCTAATGTGAGTTTGGTCAGAGGGACATGTTCTGGTGACATCTCTGTGGTGGAATTTCACTGGATTGATTAAGACTTTACGGTTGGGCTCAGTAGTGAGCTGCGCCCCACTCGTTTCAGCTGCTTAACTGGCATCTAAAAACAACCCTCACATCTCTGCCCAGCCAGCCTCCCTCTTTTGCTGCTCAGAACTTTCCTCATGCCAAACTGTCCATTTAAACAAGTGTCCGTTGCGTTCTTCTGTACTTTCCAAAGCCTATTGTGCAACTATGCTGATTGAGAGAGACCACAGCTGGGACAGTTGCATCAAGGTTCATTACAAACATGGTCTGTTCAGGCCCCACTTACACTCTGAGGAAACACACGTCACCCTACAGTCTAGTGCAGGTGTGCCGCTATGTCGCTAGAGCCAAATGCAGCCCCTGGTGATATTCTTCCTGTAACTCTGCCCTTGGGAGGATAAAGCGGATCAGCTGCAGGTCTGTATGCTTGGCAGTCTAGAACAAGGAACTGTTTTTAGTATACCAAGAAAAGCAGAGCAGAAGATATCATGGCTTCGTATGCTTGATTCATGTCAACATGGGATTTGGGCATGGCTTTCAAACCCCGGGCAAGCTGGGGTGTCTTAAAACCTGAGCACACCTTATTGGTTGCCAGAGATTTGGCCCTCAGTTCACCCTGACTAGTCTGCAGCTGGTCATTAAAAACTATTTTGGGCTCAGTGCTTTAACAGTCTCCTTTCATCTTTAGGCTCTTGTGTTGGATGAACATATAATGCATATTGTCTCTGCCTAAGCAACAAAGTGTGCTGAAATAGTAGGAAAAGAGAGGAAGAAGAAATGCTTTGTAATTAAGTTTGTAATTGAAGCATTAAAAAAAAGTTCCTGTTTTAAGATGAAAGCCCAGGGAGATCACTGGTAATGGTCTTTCACCTCCAAAACACTGATTCAAGTGAGGCTGGGTCAGCAGTGACCATGTGATGGCTGGTCAGTGAAATGCGTTTGCTCTCAGTCCAGTGTGCATACAAAACCCACCAGAGCAGATGAGACTACCTTGCCCTGTTATTCAGTTTGAAGTCTGTCTGCCAACAAACTGTGGAGACTGAACTCTCCGCTCATTCCCAAGAGGCAGGCAGTCCAAATCTGGACTGGGATGCACTGACTGAGTGATGTGGGGGATCTTGAGTTTCTTCAGTCCAAGCTGTATCTTTCTCCAACACCCTGTTTTGAAAAAGTAAACATAAAGCTGTTTGGACAGAAATGTTTGTCAAAAACCACTCAACGGGCCCAATCCTGATTCTACTGATGTCAGTGGAGGATTTAGCCAGGGACTTCAGTGGATGCAGGCTCATCCCCCATGAGCTCTGCCCATCTTATGAAAGGTTGAAGCAAAACATAGTTTGCTACAATTCTGAAGAGAACATAAAATCAATGCTTAAGGCTGCAATGAGAAAAGATCAGACTGTGGCGTTTGCCAGTTGCACAAAATGGGGGAAGTGACTGTAATCAGCCCTAATCAATCCATATAACATAAAGTATGAAGGACCTTTCATGTTCAGTTGACTTTTTCTAAGATCTGAATGTGTGTATTTATTTATTATTTGGCATTGTGCAATATTTGGTGACAAGTGGATGATGTACGCTCTTTGCCTTTTGGGAAAGGTATGTTATCGCTAGCTTATGAAAATTGCTTTTATATGCCTTCTGTTTATTATTTGATCAACTGATGCTTAATGCTGTGTTTTTTACTTCTAACTGTAACTTGTTTGGGATATTTTTAAAAATATGTCTACATTTTGCAGAATAAACTTCCAATTACTGACAATATAAATTTACCAGTCTCTTCAGTTTGGGTACAACCTTAACTCAGTCTTCATAACTGCATGCATACCACACAGGCATAATTTTGGCACTCAAATTGTGCACGTACACCAGGATGTTTGCATACTTCACATGTAGATTGGGATGTTTGTGCACCTACTACATGTTTGCACAACATACTCTTGATGATTCGGTCAAAATTTTTTACATTCTTCTGCAGCAGAAAATTAGCTCAATGGCAAATTTTACTCAAATCATTTAAATGTACAAAAATCATTTTACTGATTGATTAAAATGGAGGGTTTTTTTTTATAAATGTGCTTCAGTCAAGTCACATTTTACTGCCATATTTTATGTGCAACGAACATACTTTTTCTGGATTTCCATTATCTTGGAATGTAATTTTGCTGAGTCAGGCTCACCTCCTGATTCTCTCATACTTAATCCGGCACTACTGTTCAGATTTCCAATACTGTAGAAATATGTGAAGTGATACTGCAACTTTTTCCATGGTATTTTTCAATGGCAAGAAAACATTGGCTTGTCGTCAGGTTTTCTAAAATGCTCCCAGAAATATTGGGTGTAGAATACCTGTCAGTATATACTGTGACTTTTAGTGCTTATGAAAGTGTGTAGTAGCAGGAGGGACACATGCATGTTTCTTCCAAAGCATCTGAACCCTGCATTCCCCCTGTTCAAGTCCTGGCTTCCAGATAGCTTTTCTAATGTGCACCTCAATCTCAACCTCCATTCATGACACCCTTCTATTTCAGTGCTGGGCCCTCACAGCTACTGCCCTTCAGTCATGCCCTGGAGCACTCTCCACTGTTTCAGAACTCTGCCCTCTCAGACTGCCAAATTACTTAGCACCTCAAATGTACACAATGGCTTTAACTCAGATTGCCTTGAACAGCTTGAACTGGTGTTGCTAATGCAGCCCAGGGTCAAACCCTTCCCTCAGGGGGACGCCCCTATTTTGGCTGCGGAATTTGCCTCAGAATCCATCCCTTGTTGCAAAATTGAAGCTTAGATTCTGGAGCACTTGTTAATGAGCTATCAGGGCTCTCACTACTCCACCCCAGCCCTGAAGAGCCAGACCAAAGCATTTGGGCCACGTACAGAAGGTTTTTATCACCTGCATCTGAGTTTCAGTTATAATTTGGAAGAGAGCTACATTATAGTTTGTGTGCTGGCTCTTACTTTTTGGCGAGTATTGGATGGAAAAGGTGAAACGAAGATCAACGTGTGTTCTCCTGCCACCAATCAAGGAGGTGGAGTTGTGGGCAAAATACTTTAACTGGGTCTCAATGTGATTAGGTTAAAGTGCTGTTTGCACACTGCATCCAAAGGAGCACATGGTGTGCAGACAGGATGGAGTCATAGTTACGCTTGCACCAGATTTCTGCATCTTGCATACCTGGCTTTGTCATTCTTTGGAATGACACTGTTCCCTCGCTCTTGAACTGCACTGAGTCTGTGATGGTAGCAGGTAATCCCTGGAAATTAAGGTTTTGCTTCTTGAAAGAGAAAATGTTCATGTTTAGTTGCCAGTGCTTATGGCCACCACTTTGCAGCACTTTAAGTGGTAATTTTTAACTACTAGACTTTCATTTTTATGTGCTAGCAAAACAAAATTGCTTTGCCGTCACAATACTACTTTGGAATAGTCTATCGGCCACTTAACAGTATATGCTTAGTTGGTAACAAATGGAGGTGCTGGAAGAACGCCCCCACAGGTCTCCATTTTCCCTCCCCAAAGTGAAGGTTATGCTTAAAAGGCTTTAATGGGTCTCTGGAGGTTATTATGGGGAGAGGATTGGGTCTTGCCATACCCCACCCTCAGCAATGCACAGTGTGAGCAGGGCTTTGTACTCATGATTAGGACAAGCAGTAGGAGCAGGACACTTCCTTTAATAGCTCTGTGTGTTAACTTTTCACACACCTGTTTGTGTAAACATGCCTGCCTTGTTTGACAAAGTGACTTCCTGGGCATCTTATGTCTCCAAGCACCCGTGCTTTGGGAGGGTGTCAACTCTGTCCTATATTTGCTTTTGTGTTTAGCTTTGAAATTAATATTGTCCTCTCCTTGTGCCATGGTCCTAAACTACTTCAAAATAAATTTTCCACTGAGAGTGGTTTGGATGTGAACAAGGACATGCCTGGTTAGCAGCTTGAAAGTACTCCTAGCAACCCCAACTGGGGTTTTCTTTCAGCTAGTGCAGAACTAAACACCCCACAATGGATTCCAATCTCCAAGCTGAACTGAATTGGCAGTGGAAAGGATCTTCAGTCACTAATAGGTGCAGAGAATGCCAATCCAGTAACTGCAGCACAAGAATTGGGAGTAATGAGCTGGGTTCTCTATAGCCTTTGGGTGTTTTTTTATTTTATTTCTTTACTCTGTGCTGCACAGAAACCTAACAGAAGGACCTTGACTAAGAAATGGAATATTTATAATCTGATTGCTTACTGTCCTGTTGTGACCTTCCCCTGGTGTTATCTGGACAGGTGATCTGCTAGGTTACTCAAATCCTTGACTCTGGGAGCCAGCCTTACCCTGCTCTGCTGTGAGAACCCCCACTCCTGGGCTGTTCATGCACAGCCTCTGGCATGTAAGCTGCTCCCAGCTACATGAGTGAGCACTTTTGGCCAGCTGCTGCTTGGCTTGTGCGACCAAATGACACTAGCCAATATCTTCGGTCCCAGACACAATCCTAGGAACCTCCATCCATGTGTTCAGTTATGCCCACTGGATGCTGCAAGCTTATATGAGTTCGTCAATTTAACAAAGAAATTGATATGTACCAGGCTTGTTATCCCAAGAGGAGTCTCTGACACACTTCAAACCAATCGCACTGCTTCAGGTAGAATAAACAAACAAATTTAAAAGATAGATTTTACATGATTATAAGTCAAAGCACAACAAGTCAGATTTGGTCAAATGAAATAAAAACAAAACACATTCTAAGCTGATCTTAACACTTTCAGTGCCCTTACAAACTTATATGCTTCTCACCACAGGCTGGCTGGTTACCCTTCAGCCAGGCTCTCCCCTTTGATCAGTGCTTTAGTCGTTTGGGGGTGGTGTCTATAGATGGAGGTGGAAGCGAGAGAGCATGGCAAACCCCTTTTTATCATGTTCTTTCTTCCCTCTTGGCTTTGGCCCCACCCTTCAGAGTCAGGTGAGCATTACCTCATCATAGGTCCAAACTGACCAAGGAAAGTGGGGTGACTCACTCAAGAGTCCAACAGATCCTGTGTTGTTGCCTAGGCCAGTGTCCTTTGTTCCTGTCAGGCTGGGCTGGGTTTGTCCCATACATGCCCTGATGAGGTGTGAACTGCCCCTCTGCTCCTGGAGAGTTTTGCCTGGGCTTGTTTTAAGCCATTAGGACACATTTTCAGCCTCATAATTATATATATGAAATTACAACCTATAACATTACTATAACAACAATGCTCAGTGCATCATGAGCCTTCAGAAGACACCCGATATGACAAACTTTGCATTGGATACCACACAATCATATGATAAGGATGAACATGGGGGTGCAGGGTGTTCCCCCGAGGTACAGAGTGTCACACCTGTCCACATTTAGATTTGCCTTAGGACTTGGCTTAGATATAGATTTGCAGGAAATGAACAGTTGACGTAATGTTTTGGGGTTTATCAAAGTGTAGAATTATGTTTATAAAGTGCACTTTGTTTAGCTGGACTGTCTTAGCCCACACACTTTCTACCTTAATTCCCGCTAGTCACTAAAGTTCTTTGTGACTTTTCCCATCGTTTTTAATAAGCTTCAAAAGCTTATAAAAAACCAAATTTCTGGTAGGAAAGCCCACAGAAGACTGAAGAATTTCAGAGGGACTTAACCAACCTACATGCATGGGCAACATGGTGGCTGATGAAATTCAGAATTGATAAATGCAAAGTTATGCACCATAGAGGGAAAATAGTTTACGCATATCTGATCACATGAAGTGATTGTGTTGTCATTATTGACAGCTCAACAAAGATTTTGGCTTAGTGTGCAGCTGCAGTCAAAAAAAAAATCACACCAGATGTTAAGATTCAACAAGAATGAGATAGCAAATATTACAGAAAAGGTCATAATATAATGCAATAGTATACCTTCAACTCTATGTGTGCAGTCCTGGTCACCCCAGCTCATAAATGATCATGTAGAATTTGAGAGGGTGCAGAGAAAGGTAATGGGAATAACTAGGGGCATGGAAAACACTCACGAGGGGAGACTGAAGAGATTGACTGATTACCTTAGAAAGGAGGTGAATAAGAGGGGATCTGATAAAAGTATAAACAATGGTGTTCTTCCTTTCTCTCAACACAAGAACAAGGGGACATTTGATGAAATTGCCAGCTGTGACCCAATGCACAGGAAGTAATTTTGGGGGGGGGGGAAATCTGGGCCTGGGAGTGTATTGGGGTCACCCTGCAGTAGTAACCAAGACTAGTGAGAGCCAGAGTGTGGCTGGTAGGCTTACCCATCCCCAAGGAACTGCTCAGGCTGGGAGTCGGGATGGACACTACTCCAAGGACCCCACTCCCATAACTGTGGGGCCACCATGGCTGGCCGGCCTGCTCCCCATTGCAAGGGCCATATCCTATACCTGCAGCCCCATCCCAGTGTTTGGGCCTGGACGGCCAGATGCTGCCCAGGCATGGTCAAAGCGGCTGCTCCTGTTGTGTTTATAGGGTAACCTGAGGCACTGCCAACCTCCCCCTGTCAGTCCCAATGGCTCCCCCTCATGCACAGGCTGGGGCAGCCCCTCCCCCAATGGCTCCACCCACGTGATCGGGCTGGAGGCAGCCCCTCCCTCCGTGCCCACAGCGCGCTGCCTCGGGTGCCGCGAGGAGGCGGCTCACGCGGGGGGCGTTCCGCGGAGGCCGCTGGTGCCGCGCGTGCTGACGTTTGGCTCCCGTTCGCCACCGTAGGCGCAGCGCTTCCGGTGTGCGGCCGGATGACGTGGCCGGGGCAGCGGAAACAGCGTCTCGTCGGCAGCGGCTGGGTCGGGTCCGGGTCCGGGTCCGGGCCGGGCAGAGCGAGGGCGGCTCGCGGGTAGCCTGGTGCTTGCGCTGGTGACGCGGAGGAGGCCGGCGGGGAGGATGGAGCTGCCCAGGCTGCTGCTGTGCGCGGCGTCCGCGGCGCTGCTGCTGTTGCGGGCCCGGGCCGACGAGCACGAGCACACGGTGAGGAGCCGGCTGGGCCTGCCCGCCAGCCGCGCCCCTGGTGCCAGGCGCGGCGGGTGCAGCACGGGGTGGTACAGCCGTCCTCGGGGGGGAGTGTGTGTGTGTTTATGGAGGCGGGGCCCTCAGTCCCGCCACCTTGTGTGGAAGTGTGTGTGTGGGGGGGCATACACCCAACCCCGGTATGTATGTGTGGAGGGGCGGGGGGCCGTGTACACCTGTCCCGTGTGTGTGTTTATGGAGGGGGAGATTGTGAATACCTGTGGGGGAGGGAGAGTGTGTGTGTGTGTGTAGATCGGGCCCTGCACACCCGGAAGTGTGGGTGGGAGGGCCTGTACACCTGTTCCCTGTGGAGTGTGTGTGTTTATAGAGGAGGGGCTCTGAATACTGTTCCTTTGTGGCGGAGTGGAACTGTAATATCTGGTCCGTAGTAGGGGTATGGTTGCAGCAAGGAGGGTCTGTTCCATCAGTAGGGTTTGGGGCTTTGCGGGATTGCTGAAGAGGTCAATACTCCTTCCTCTGAATGATACTTGGTCACAAGTATTCTCCAGACCCCTCCTCCCCAAAATGCTGCTTCAGGTTGTGGGCTGTGTGGTGACCCTGCTGTCTGATGGGGACTATGCTGCCTGAATGACCACTAGTCTCATGTCAGTCACTACCTAATCCAATCACAGTGGATGGCCATACTCCGTGCACAGTGGCTGGCCATACTCTGTACTGCAGAATCCTCCTCTGGGGTGGGACAGGTGTGGGCTAAGTGGGACTAAATAGATTGGAAGAAGACCTAGCCTCTGGTTAAGTATCTGTGCTCCTCAGTTTCCCTGACTCCTTGCACTTTTTCTTCCACATGTGCACATTCCTGGTCCTTTGGTACTGCTCCCCATACAGGTACACACTGGCTCTGATTCTGTGGCTTTGACAACTTCTCTGTGATAGAAGAGCAATGAAAATGACTAAATGTCTAGAAAACATGACCTATCAGGGAAGATTGAAAAAATTGGGTTTGTTTAGTTTGGGGAAGAGAAGACTGAGAGAGGACATAAGTTTTCAAATACATACAAGGTTGTTATAAGGAGGAGGGAGAAAAATTGTTGTCCTTAACCTCTGAGGACAGGACAAGAAGTACAGTGGGCTTAAATTGCAGCATGGGCAGTTTAGGTTGGACATTAGGAAAAACTGCCAAATTGTCAGGGTAGTTAACCACTGGAATAAGTTGCCTAGGGAGGTAGTGGAATCTCCATCATTGCCTAACCTGCTCTTAAAAATCTCCAAACACTTGTCAGGGATGATCTAGATAATACTTAGTCCTTCTTTGAGTGAAGGTGACTGGACTAGATGACCTCTCGAGGTCTCTTCCAGTCCTACAATTCTATGATTTATAATAGGTACAACTTTCATAAATTCAGAATCTGCCATATAACACATCATTTAGAAATAACTTTGCTATTGTCCCCTTTTTGGCCAAGTACAGCCCTGAAGTGGTCAATTTCAAGATTTAATTATCTAAATGTATTAGTGAAGATTGAAATTAGTAAGTGAAGAGAAATTGGGACGTAGTTCAGAGATTAAAATCTTTATGGTTTAAAGTCAAATATAGCTTAAAAAGGTCTTGTGTTCTTATGAAGTTGCTGAAAAATAATTCAGTATTTAATTGTACATCTGTTCACTAACTTATGTGTTCCTTTACAGAGTCTTAACTTATACATCTGCTCTTTGCACACACTAAGACCTCTTGTACTGCTTGTCTACCACTGGTGCTAGCACCTGTAAAAATGCTAGTGTAGACATTTCATAGATGTTTTTACAGTATCCTCGGATCCTACTTGAATCAAGCTTAGATGGCATGGTAAAATGCTGTATAGTCTGCATTGTCACTGTTGCTAGTACTGATGGAATTGCAGAGATACTAGATGAACTGTCCAAAAAGTCCTCATATAGATTCATTGTCAGATTCTTCCATTATTGAGGAACACTCTGAGTATTTACTAGCATTGTGTTAATGTGGGAGAACCAGTAAGTGAAACTGAGTGCTGTATTTTAGTTGTCCAGACTGAATGAAGTGCAAAGTCTAAAAAAGCAGCCTAAGTGATGAAATATAACTAAATTGTAAAAATTTTAGAAAAATCTAACTACTAAAATGAAAATTAGCCTGATGATGTGTGTGAAATTTATAAATAAAACTTAAATTTATAATTCTTTTCCTTGATTTGAAGAGTTATAATTTAGCTTAAATGTGCTTTCAAAATTGATACATAAAAAGAATATACTGTTGTAGATGACCAAGAATTGTTCTCATCTCCCCTCCCCCCCCTTACAGAATACATTCTCCAGCAACTGAAGTAAGCAAACTTTCTTAACAGTTCATGTCCCCAGAAGTGTAGGAATGGTAGTAAATACAGGATTTCCACTCTTGTAACAGATTTGAATCCCCTGAGTCTGAAGTTTTACCTACCATGGTAAATATTATAGTCTATGTGAGCACAATGTTTTTGGTACTTGAGTTAACTGTGGCTCATTATGTCTACAAGGGGCCAATAAAACTTGACTTAAAGCAGGCTAGAATGAATATATAACTGCCTCTCCTGAAAATGTTTGCAGATCCCTTTTCAAAGCAGGTGAAATTATAGAGCAGGGCTCAGGACGCTGAGCAATCTTCTCACTTCTGGGAAATGAAAGGGTAAGCCTGGGGCCTTGTTCATACTACATACTAGCTAGAGTTGACCGGGCCTAGAATTCAGAGGGGGTTAAAGAGAGTGTGCTACTGGACATAAATTTGCCCCACCCAAAATACAAACTTTAAGTTGAAATCCCAGGTTTAATGTGTCATGAACATGAGCTGTGGAAGTTGGGCTTTAGAAACAATGCTTGATATATATTGTATGTCCATGAGGCACTGAAAGAATTAGTAATTTAGGTTTGCCAATCATTTTATTTGATGAATTCTCTTTTGGATTTTATGTGTGTCTTCTTTTATTGCTGTTCCCTGTGCTGCTTTTGCTTCTTTGCCCTGGCAGTAAAAAGAAATGTTAATTCTTTTTTCTGAAATATTGTGTGCTGTTGCTTCAGAGAACAGTATTCTGGTAAGTTTCACTCTCAACATGGGAGTAAAAAAGCAACACAATGAAGTATCTAAACATGAACTAGGGAAATACAACCTAGATGGAGCTACTATCAGGTGGGTGCATAACTGGTTGGAAAACTGTTCCCAGAGAGTAGTTATCTGTAGTTAACAGTCAAGCTGGAAGGACATATTAAGTGGGGTCCCACAGGGATCAGTTCTGGGTCCGGTTCTGTTAAATATTTTCATCAGTGACATAGAGAGTACACTTATAAAGTTTCTGGGCGATACCAAGCTGGGAGGGGTAGCAAGGGAGGAGTTGGAGGATAGGATACAATTCAAAATGATCTGGACAAACTGGAGAAATGGTCTGAAGTAAATAGGATGAAATTCAATAAGGACAAATGCAAAGTACTCCACTTAGGAAGAACAATCAGTTGCACATACAAAATGGGAAATTACTGCCAAGGAAGGAGTACTGCAGAAAGGGAACTGGGAGTCATAGTAGATCACAAGCTAAATATGAGTGAACAGTGTAACAATGTTTGCTTTTTTCCCCAACATCACTCTGGGATGTATTAGCAGGAGTGTTGTAAGCAAGACACAAGAAGTAATTCTTCCTCTCTACTCTGCGCTAATTAGGCCTCAATCTGGAGTATTGTGTCCAGTTCTGGGAGCCACATTTCAGGAAAGATGTGGACAAACAGGAGAAAGTCCAGAGAAGAGCAACAAAAATGATTAAAGGTCTAGAAAACATGACCTGTGAGGGAAGATTGGGAAAAGTTGTGTTTGTTTAGTTTGGAAAAGAGAAGACTGAGAGACGGCATGACAGTTTTCAAGTACATAAAAGGTTGTTACAAGGAGGAGGGAGAAAAATTGTTCTCCTTAACCTCTGAGAATAGGACAAGAAGCAATGGGCTTAAATAGCAGCAAGTTGGTTTAGGTTGGACATTAGGAAAAACTTCCTAACTGTCAAGGTGGTTAAGCACTGCAAGAAATTGCCTAGGGAAGTTCTGGAATCTCCACCATTGGAGATTTTAAGTGCAGGTCAGACAAACACCCATCAGGGATGGTCTAGATCAGTGGTTCTCAAACTAGGGCCGCCGCTTGTTCAGGGAAAGCCCCTGGCGGGTCGGGCCGGTTTGTTTACCTGCTGCGTCCGCAGGTTCGGCCGATCGTGGCTCCCACTGGCCACGGTTTGCTGCTCCAGGCCAATGGGGGCTGCGGGAAGCGGCGCTGGCTGAGGGACGCGCTGGCCGCCCTTCCTGCAGCCCCCATTGGCCTGGAGCGGCGAACCACAGCCAATGGGAGCCGCGATCGGCCGAACCTGCGGACGCGGCAGGTAAACAAATCGGCCCAGCCTACCAGGGGCTTTCCCTGAACAAGCGGCGGCCCAAGTTTGAGAACCACTGTCTAGATAATACTTAGTCCTGCCATGGGCGCAGGGGACTGGACTAGGTGACCTTGCGAGGTCCTCTCCAGTCCTGTGATTTTATGTAGCATGTCCAGGGATGCATGCGTTTGAAGTATCTTGATTGTTTCTTGGGTTAAAATACTTGTTATCCTATTGAATTATTATCAGATAAACTTCAGTAGCCCAACACTAACTCTCTGTGGCACTGACACCTATCAGACAGATGTTTTCAGGTAAAAAAAATACTAGACACCTTTCTCCTGCACCCTTTTAGTCAGTTGTGTGGACTTCAGAAACATATAGATTAAATAGCCTGCAGGCTAACCTTAGCAGGGTTACCATGCTAATTTTCCACTCTTATGAAGGATCCTAAAGCTTTGTCCCACTTGAAATGAGCTCTGTGGAAAGAAATGGGTTTGCAACATACATACCATGTGCCTAAGAATGGTCTGGCTGGTGCTGTGTTTCTTTTTAGAGTATTTTCAACTTTATGCATTTATTTTATGTTGTTTGTTGCATCCGGCTTGAAAG